TACTTGGGCAGTCAGCACTCTATGTGAGCCAAAGGTTTTTCATTTGAAAACTCATACGTTTATGGTATGCTCAAACACAGATGTGTGCATACAAATATTAGGTTTGTATTATAAAGTGAGGGTCTTGTTTGTTTTGTTTTGTTTTGTTTGAGCTAACACCTCAGGTACCCAGGCTCACTTTGACTTACTACATAGCATAGGATGGCTTTGATTTCCAGGTCCTCTCCCCAGTGCTAGAGTTACAGGTTAGTAGCAGTAAAACCAATGCATGCAGTCCTAGAGATACAACTCAGGGTTCCACGCATGCTAGGCAAGCATTCTGCCAGCTGAGCTCCTTGCCAACTTTGAACTTGCTGTATGTACACTTAGCCCCCTGCCTCTACCTTTCAAGTGCTGGGATTACAGGTCTATATCACCACACCCAGTTTTCAGAGTGGTAGAGTTGGAACCCTTGGCTTCCTTTAGGCTGGCTAGGTCAGTGTTCTGTCAGCTGAGCTTAATCCTGAGCTGGTGTTACTTTTGAGTCATTGATAGGTAATAGATCCTCTTAGCGGATGGATCATGGGTCCTATGAGATCAGGTATGAAGTCTTGCTATCCCCAGAATGCACTGTGAGGTCTGGCCCATGGAAGCCACCATAATGTCAAAGATGATGAACAGACAGCCACTCTGGCTTAATGGTTATAATGTGATGGTTGTGATCTTTATCTCTTCCAGTTCTTTGCTGGTCCAGGCATTCTGGTTCCATGTCTCCTCAAGTCTATATGCCAAACTTTTCTGAGCTTTATGAAGTAAAATGTGCTCAGGGCCATGAATCCTTAGTGGGATTAAAAATAAATGAAAGTGTACTAAAGCAAGTTAACCGCAAGAAATGACTTTGTGAGATAATTAGGCATTGGCTTTGGAGGTCAAGTGCAGGGCGCCAGACTCTCACTACCCAGAACTCTAGCTTTCCATGCTGCCACACAGGGCAGAGCACACTGGGTTGGCTAGAGCCTCTCTTGGCCATCCACCACTTTAACTAGACCAAAACCCACCATGCACTGGTCAGGAAAAATTATTCTAATTCCAGCTGTCACCACCTGCTGGAGTGATTCTTGGAAAATTGTGCCTCTCTGGGCCTCAATTTCCTGTATAGAAAGTGATTAATGACCGACAAATCTTTAATATATTGCAAATACATTGCAGTATGTTAATATATAATCTATCATGTATAGATATACAGTATATACTAATATATATTTAATATATAAAAATGCAAGTAGTAGGGGCTGGAGAGATGGCTCAGTGGTTGAAAGCACTGGCTACTCCTCCAGAGGACGGTGAGTTCAGTTCCCAGAACCTACACAGTACCTGGTAACCATCTATAGCTAGACTTCCAAAGGCTCTCAAGCCATCTTATGTCCCCCATGGGTACTTCTTGAATGTGGGGCACAGACGTACATGCAGTCAAAATATCCCATACATACAAAATAAAATAAAAAACTTTTAAAATACAAATAATAACAATGCCTAGCACACAGGCAGAGGTTCTTCTTTATTTGTTTTGTTTTGTTTTTTTCAAGACAGGGTTTCTCTGTGTAGCTTTGTAGACCCGTATGGGGTCTGCTGTCTATGCAGATTTAAAGATGGAACAAGGCTGACTATGTTTGTCAAGGACCCAGAGTAGAACATCAATAAATGGTTGTCGTCTCATTCTGAGGTCACCTCCTGTGTCTCTCACTGCCACCACACCACTGTATTCCATGTCTCCAGCTCCTCCCACTGTGTGGTTTCTTTCTGTCATCTCCTTCAGGGCCCTTCCAAGCCAGTAGTCCTATTCTTTTCCACACTATAGCACAGTGTTTTGCCAAGATCTCTTTGTAGAAGGGTATACATCTTTTCCCTCAGCTTGGACTTGCCTGTGTAGCTCACCTTGTCCAAAGGGGTGGGCAGAGTGTCAATGTGCCAGCTCTGAGCTTAGGCCTTAAAGGAGCTTCCTGTAACTATATTTGCTCTTTTATTTTGTTTGTTTATTAAGACAGGATCTCAAATAGCCTAAACTGGCCTCAAATTCCTTATGTATCCAAGAATGACCTTGAACTTCTGATCCTTCTGCCTCTTCCTCCCAACTGCTGGGCTTACAGATGTGTGCTATTGTGTGTGGTTATTTTCAGAGCTTAGAGATCAAATCCAGGGATTTGTGCCTGCTGGACAAGCATTATATTACCCACTGAGCCAAATCTCCAGACATTTTTAAAAATCTTACCAAGAGAACATGCCCAGAAATCCCGGAGGATGGCAGGAGACCTGTGATCTGAGCAGCCCCAGATTTGCAAGTGTGTGGCTGGCAACAGCTTACCATCCCACCACGTCATAACTTCTCTGTGAAAATAGATGGTTGCTATGATGTGGTTAAGTGTCCTCTAAAGATCCTTGGGTAAAGTCCTCTCCCGCCTGAGGTACCTTAGAAAGGTAGGGGAACCTAGGACATGTTTGGCCTAGTGGAAAGTTTTCTGGTCATATGAAGGGAACCCTGGTGTCCTTTCCCACACCTTCCCCTACATGTCTGTTGTAAGATGAACAGCTTGTTTCCCCCCATTCACGGTGACGTGGTCTGCTGCCTCACCGCAGCTCCAGGTAGCAGGGCCAACTGACCATGAACCCAAATGAATGAAAAGAAACCATTTTAAGTTCATTATCTCGGGCACTTTTTATAGCAACTGAAAACTTGTTAGTGTGACTATTACTTGAAAGAAAGTAAGGTGTTTCAGAGATGTTTGCCACCCGGTGCTCTTGTAACAGTGCAACCTCTGGCAAATTCAAAACGAGATCAGATCCGCTTGGCTCATTTGGTCACCGCTCCCAAACAGCTCTCTAACGTCAGCCACCATGAGCCAAGGACCCCCTTCCCATCTAGTCTGCGGTGGCTTTTGAGGACTGAAACACCCATCTCTGCTCCGGACAGTTGTCCAGTCATTTCAGGGCCGTGTGACACAAAGCCTGGAAAGGATTATTTCTGGTCCCATGATTAAAAGCCGGGTGGATGTGGTCAGCAGCTATTTCTCAGAACACTTTGGCTCTAAATCTGTACCAGGATAGAATTTGCACAGCAAAGTTGTCTTTGTGCTGCCATTGGAATCCACCTTGGGCTGTAAACCCCTGAGTGAAAGAAATGTGGTACCTCTAACAATTTACTTTAGGAACTTCCCTCTACACAGCTGGAGGCAGAACCCCGGCTCCATCCAGCACAAGGTCTTTTTGTCTGCCTTGGAGGCCTCACACTTAGAAAGAACTCAGGTCCACCTCCAGCCAGTGGAAAGCCCTCAGTTCTCTATGGACATCAAAACCATGATTCATGTGCCATCTACCAAGTACCCACTGCTTGGCAGAATTCCTAGCAACACTCTCTGCTCTGCAGAGTCCTTGGCTAAAATAAGACCCTCCTCCTTGATTTATAAATATTTACTTTAATTTTTTTGCTTGCATAGATTATCAGGTTCTATTTCAAATCCTCTTTGTTAATATGGTGACATTTTTGGTTTTCAATTTTCTTTTGTGTCTAAAATTATTTTCCTAATACTTTTTGTCTTAGATAGGGTCTCACTATGGAGACTGGGCTAGCCTAGAACTTACGGAGGTCCACCTACCTCTGCCTCATGAGCGCTAGGACTGAAGATGTGCAGCTCCAAGTCAGATTTCAGAATACTTTTCTCTTAGAGCTCTTGGGGGAAGAAAGGTTTGATACCATGGTGGTTGGTGTTTGATCACTGTCACTTGTTCTGGGCAGTTTCCTTACATGTTTTGTCATTGTGGGTCCTGGGTGGATCTAGAGGAGCGTGTACCCATGGGCATGCTGTAATAGCCTGAGCTGAGAGCATACATGGATGGGTTCATTTAGCTGGTCCACTCTGATATGTATCTAGGTTCTATATCTAGTATGACTATCGTAGTTCTTGGCTTGGACTTTCAAATTCATGTGGACAGAGTGCACTTTTGAAAACCCTACATGAGAATATATTCCTGTTTATTCCCGTGGAAACATGCATTTGGATCTTGTTTGTTTCCATTTGGTAAGATATTAATCAGCAAAACAAGGCTGTTCTCTCTCTGGTTTGGAGCTTCTGCCTGGTGCCTGGGGCAGAACTTGGAACACAGTAGACAAGTGTTTATTGGAAGGAATGATGGAGGAATGCCCTTTTCACAGCGTACTGTGAGGAGTAAATGGAGAATCAGGCAGGACTGGATTTGATTGCAAGGAGCAGAGTCCAGTTCAAAAAGCATCTACAGTCTCACTGACAGGCAGATGGTGTTTTTGACTCAGTGAAAGCATAATTTCCAACCTCTCCTCTCGTTGGCTGCCATCTTATGTTTGCTAGATGGCAGCTGTAGCTCCAGCCATCACATCCACATTCCAGGCAGATGAAAGGGGCAGACAGCAAAAGTAAACAGGAAGCAACATTTTCTGGTTTTCAGGAGAGTGAAGATTTCCCTATATGTAAGAGCACATGTCTGCTTTGATTTCCCTGGTGGAGAACTGGTACATGAGCATCCCAGGAGTTAAGGGGCATGGAAAGTCAGAATCCCTTCATCAGGACTCCACAGGTGAGAGAGGAAGGGATGGGAGGCTGGGACTACAGAAGGGTATCAAACCCAGAGGCTATGTGTGAAGTGCCCACTCTACACAGAAAGCATAAAGAAACCCCACTAGGCCTGCTGACACCACCGGCCTCACTCAGCTCACAGTCCTGGTATGCCTGTCAGTATCAGATTCCCTGAGAGCCTGGAACCATCAGGCATGAAGATAGATATCCATACCCCCGCTTTCTTCCCTTCTACCTCGTTTTGTTCAAATCACCGAAGCTTTAAAAAAAAAAATCCCAAACTACATTTTCCAGCATGAACCACGTCCTGCTCTCATTACCTCCACCCTTGGTGACTTAGCTGACAGCCTGAAGGAAGCCGACTATACAAGTGAAAGGTCCCTCAGACTTGTAACCAAGTCATTGCCAAGGACTCTCATCAAGGACACTGAAATGGAAATACCAGGAATGCCAGCAGTGAATCTTAAGCAGACCCTGGAATGGCTCAGGAAGGAGCTGGTGAGCCTTTTCCTTTCCCTTGTTGTCTCTTCCTGTATGTTCTGAGGCTTCTGGTCTCTCTCTCTTCCCCCCCCCCTCTCTCTCTCTCTCTCTCACACACACACACACACACACACACACACACACACACACACCCTTCACCCTTCCCAGGACCTCATTGGCTGTGGCAGGGGCTTCAGGCTGAAGTTTGAGCCCTGCAGGCACCCTTCCGGGCCTCCCTGTGGCAGCCACACAGAATACAATGGCGTTCTTAGGTACTGGAAAAGTGGGTCATGACCTACATAGGAGACACTGGGTGCTGACCAGACTGGTTTTAGCATTGTGCTGCGTACTGAGAATGTACCCAGCTCTGTTGCTGTGTGAACTTTAGTTAGCGTCTTTACGTCTCTGAGCCTCAGTTTCTTTAATCACAAGGTAATAGTGCCAACATGATGGGGGTTGTCGGAAGGCTTCAGTGAGAGCTGTCTGACATTTATCTTATTAGTGCTTGGAGCCGAGGGTGAAACCTGGGGGACACAGAGGACACTCAGCACATTAGCTAGGCAAGCAGAAGCCCCAACAAGAACTGAGACTAAGGATATATGTGGAGGTACAAACACAGGGAGGCAAGATGGAGGAAGCCCAGTAGAGGCAAAAATGGTGTTGGGCTGGGCAGGGCCATGAGTACTGACACCAACTCCCCCTGCAGAAGGTGCCAAAAAGAGACAGTGGCCCTTGGGACTTCTGCTCTAGTGTTGAAAGAGGAACTGTGCCTTACAGCATGCAGGGAAGCATTTACATAAGCAGCTTGCGCTTGTCTTTTGTTTCCAGTTGGCAAAGACTTACCCGTGGGTCACTAATTCTCTCGAGTATACATGCCATGTTACCTGGCAAGCCAGGCTCCATGCCTTTCATTGATGGAGTTTTCTCCATGTCCCAAAATAAAAAGGTGTCCCAAAATATATGTGCACAGCAGCCACGAAAGAGAAGGAGACTGTCCAGGAGCACTAGAGGAGAGAGGGACAGACACGATCATCCCAGTCGACATTTGTGGGTTGCTAGGCAACAGGCCAGCTGGGACACAACCCTAACAGGGCTTCTCATGGGGTTGCGGTCAGTAGCAGCTGTGACTTACAAGCCACAGGCACCCCAGCTGCAAACTGACCCTGCCCAAACACAGACTTGGGCTCCTCATCTTTAAGGTGATCAGGCTAGCACACACAAAATGAAAATCACTTTTTGCAATGCTAAACCTGAACCCTAGGGTCTTGCACATGAAATATTCTGCCATTGAGCCATATGCCACCCCTCTTAAACACATTTTAGTGGGAAAATGTTTTTTTTTTGAGACAGGGTTTCTCTGTGTAGTTTAGGATCCAGTCCTGGAACTCTCAGTAGACCAGCCTGGCCTTGAACTCACTGAGATCCACCTGCCTCTGCCTTCCGAGTGCTGGGATCAAAGGCGTACGCCTCCACCATCCAGCCAGAAAATAGTTTTAATAATTATCTCTTGTAAAGAGAGACAGGGTTTGAAAACCTCTCATCCTACCCCCTTGTGATGCTAGAGGTCCATCCTAGGATTTGGGTGTTACATCTTCAACCCTTGGACATCTGCATCTTGAGCCTGTTTGCTCCTGGTGGCCAGAGAGCCGCATGCAGTGACTTGCTCTATGGAAAAGCTGAGATGTATTATGTGATAGCTTGGACTGGGGTGGGGCAGAGTTTGAACTATAGTTGACTCTGCTTTTTTGTTTAAAAAAAATAACTTTTAAATTACATTTTGTGCTGGCTAGTTTTATGTCAACTTGACCCAAACTAGAGTCTTCTGAAAGGCCGGAGCATGGTTTGAGAAAATACCTCCGTAAGATCCAGCTGTAGATCATCTTCTTGATTAATTGGTGAGGGAAGGCCCAGCTCATTGTGGGTGATGCCACCCCTGGGATGCTGGTCCTGGGTTCTATAAATAAGAAAGCAGGCTGAAAAAGTTACGATGAGCAAGCCAGTAAGCAGCACCTCCCTCCAGATTCCTGCCCTGCTTGAGTTCCTATTCTGACTTCCCTTGATGAACAGTGATATGGAAGTAATAAGATAAATAAACCCTTTCCTCCCCTACTTTAGCCTTGGAGTTTCATCACAGCAATAGTAATCCTAACAAGAACTGAAATTGATACCAGGATCATGGGGTATTGCTGTGACAGACCTGATCATGCTTTGCAGAGGAGAATTATAGAAGGACTTTGGAACTTTGGGCTAGAAAAGCCATTAAATATTCAAAGGTTGGTGAGATTTTCTGTGGGATCCTGGAAAATAAGAATGTTGGGAGCAATGCAGACAAATGGAGGCTGTCCTTGTGAAGTTCCAGAAAGTTCCTAAAAGACTATCAAGCTCGTTTGCTATTTTGAGTTGAGGGTCTGTGGTTCTGGTCAGCTAGGGTAAAGAGTGACTGACAAGTGAGCAGAACCGCTGAAGTAAAACCTTATATTTTTCTGGGACAACTGTTGCTGGTTAGCTGGAGCTGAAACATTAGCGGTGGTTAAGAAGAGGCCAGCAGCATCACTGAGGTGAATCTCCTGGGAAGTGTTTCTTCAGAGACAAACATGCAGAAGCTGTGTTCCAGAGGCAGCCAGGGTTGTACCTCCACCTGGCAGCTGAACTTGGTAGTGTAAGAGCCACCCAAGCAGTGCTGGTTTTGAAGCTATGAAGGGGTCATGGAGAACACCTGAGACTTTGCACTGTGAGAAGCCAGGAGCGCCATGGTGGAACCTCAGTAGCAGTTGAAGGTCCAGCATTGAAAGGGTCATGCTGAGGAGCTGAGATCTGGCACCATGGGGAGAGAGAGTCCAGGAAAGGCTATTGGTGAAAATGTAGCCCAGTTGCAGCAGAGACCCCCCGCATTTTGGGGGTACCAGTACCTTGAGACAATCACCAAGGGCAGCAGTGGAGTGGAGCTGGATGGAGCCTGGAAGCCAAGCCATGTGTGTAGCAGAGGATGAGGCCAAAGAAGAGATGCTTGGAGGAGCTCAGAAGATCCGAGTGAATCCCATGTATTGGACCTTGAGTTATTTACAGTGTTAAAGAGTTGGTTTGGTTCTGAGTGTCAGCATGCCCTGGTTCTCCCCTCTTGATGTAAGAAAGTATTTAACTTACTTTTGATTTTATGGGAACCCACAGTTGAGAGGCTTCAAACTTTTAGAAAAGATTTTGGATTTAAAAGAGACTTAGGGTTTTTAACGAGACTGAATTTTCAAGCATGATTTTTTTTTAAAGACTGGGACTTTTTAAGTTTGTAAAATGTTTTATATTGTAATGTTGACATTAATGTGTGATGTTGGGGGTGAACAAGAAAGGGAGGCTTGTGGCTCAGCAGTGAAGTATTTCTGTGTCAAGTTGACAAGAGTTCAGATGATTGTGCTGGCTAGTTTGATGACAACTTGACACAAGCTAGAGTCACCTGAGAGAAGGAAAATTTAATTGAAAAAAAAATGCCTTCATATTATCTGGCTGCAGGCAAGCCTGTATGGCATTTTTTAAAATTAGTAATTGTGGGGGATGGCCCAGTCTGTTGTGAGAGAGAGTACCCCTGGGCTGTTGGTCTCGGGTTGTATAAGACAGCAGGCTAAGCAAGCTAGGGGGAACAAGCCAGGAAGCAGTACACCTCCATGACCTCTGCAACAGCTCTTGCCTCCTTCCTGCCCTGACTTCATTCGATGATGAACTGTGATGTGGAAGCATAAGCCAAATAAACCCTTGCCCCTTGCAGTTGCCATGGTCATAGTGCTTCATCGCAGTACACCTGACTAAGACAATCACCATGACCATGACAAATTACCAGAGGAAGGGTTTATTTGGCTTACAGTTTTAGCAGGACTCTCATAGTTTGGAAGCATAGCAGCAAGCAGTAGACATGGTAGTTGGCACAAGGGGCTGAGGGCTCACTTCCTGGACCACTACAAACAGGAAACAGAGAACGAATTGGGAACAGCATGTGGTTTTCAAAACCTCAAATCCCAACCCCCAGTGGCATATTTCCTTCAACAAGGCCACATGTCCTAAACCTACCCAAAGAGTGCTACCAATTTGGAAGCACGTATTCAAACATCTGAGCTTATAGAGGATATTCAAGGCACCACGTCAAGTGTGGCAGCAAATGCCTTTACCTGCAATGCCATCTTACCATCCCTTGTAGTTGACCCCACACATGCACACACACTAAAGATTTGTTTTTAAGTGTGTGTGGGGGTGGATTTGTGCACATGAGTGCAGGTGCCCATGGAGGCCAGAAGAAGACATCAGATCCCTGCAGCTGGAGCTATGGCTGTGATAAGCATGGCCTTTATTAAAACAATAAAAGCCTAAGACACAGGTCAGCTAGCAATAATCTAAAGCACATAGGAGGCTCATACAGGGTATGTCTAAACATGGTGACATTTTCTGTAAGGTGCTTAGATGCACTTAGATCTTGGTATCTACAGGGATGGATCCTGGAGCCATCCTCCTAGAATGCCATGAGACAGTTGCCCTTTTGTGGCTTTTCCATGTATATTGCAAAAATTACTTCAGCACAAAACAAAATGTAATGTGTTAAAAATAGGGTGCAAAATGTATAGGAAAAGTTTTCTGGAAGAAGATGAAAGGTTTGGAGGTGGATGACATTGCTGTCCTTTCTATTTCAATGAGGTATTGTATGCCATTGGCTTCTGGCAAGCACCACTGTGTGCTAATAAGATGATAAAAGCAAAAGGGGAAATTGTATCTTATTGTAGAGAAAGTTGTTTTGACACTGCTGATCCCTTGAAAAGACTTGGGATCTGCAAGCCTTGCACTTCTAAATGTGCTCCAGCTCTAGGGTTGGCTTCACTTCACTGTTAATGAGAGAAACCACTAGCATGTTAATAATTGTGATGGCTATTCTTGGTTGTCAACTTGACCACATCTGGAATTAACTAAAACCCAAGTGTCTGTGTATACCTGTGAGTGGTATGCTCTTAATTAAATCATTCAAGAGGGGAAACTCCTTTTAATTCAGATCTTTTGAGATAGGAAGACCCACCTTTAATCTGGGCTACACCTCTAACAGTCTATATAAAGGACGTGGAAGAAAGAAGCTTGTTCTCTTTTCCTGATTGCTCTCTCTGTCACTGTGAAATCCATTCCTTCACTGACATTAGAGCCTACTCCTTCAGGATTCTGGCATATACTGAAGACCAGCTGAGATATCCAGCTACTGGATTCTTGGACCTTGTATTGGTACACAGAGGCTGTTGGGCTAGTTGGGCATATTAGTGTGTTCCCCTAGAGAACACTGATGGTCTGTTTGTTACCATGAAGACTAAAAGATATAGTGGTGGTATCTTTGTCACACTTCAGAGCATGTCTTCCAATTCATCCTGTCCTCATTGGAGCCTTGGAAAGGTGAGTAATTTGCCCTCATTTCCTAGATTCAAACTGAGGCTTTAGGGGAATATGGTGTGTGTGGCTAGTGTGAGGATGTAGGGGCTTGACTCCACTGAGATAGTGATGGGATAGGGTTCAACGAACACAGACTGTGCCTGTCTCACTCCCACCAATGCCTCATCTCTCCTAGACTGAGATGCAGATCCAAGATCAGCAGCTGCTGCTCGCCCTGAGGCACCTGCAGAGCCTCCTGGAGGAGCTTCGGGCTGAAAGCACCCACTGGGAGAATACAAGGCCCAGCAGAAGCACATCACCTTTCCGAGCTAGACTGGGCTCAGACAGCAGGGGCTGCCAGCCTGTGTCGAGAGGATTGTCCCAGCTGCTCCTAGGGGAAGAGAGCAGGAGAAGCTCCCTTCCTTAACCAGCCAAAGAAGATACTCATCAAAACCCTCCCACCACCAATATAAATTTTGTGTCTACTGTGTGTCCTTGGATCTTTTTAGGAATTTTTCATAGGGTAATTGTTAAAGAAAGATTATGATGTGCAAAGATGGCTGCCTACTGTTGCGTTGGTGAAAAATCAGAATACCTGTAGTGGCTATTTTCTGTGTTCCCAGCCCCCTTTATCTGATAGCAACAGGCTCTGCTGCCACCACAGATCACAGCGATGAGAAGGTCACCAGGCCTAGTCAACTGTATAATTCACGTTGGCTCTAACACCATGATTTATGATTAGCTTAATTCATGGGCATGTGACTCAACGAAACTAACCACAATCCTTCCCCTGGATTGCTATCAGGATCCTGCCAACCACACTTCAAGGGTATAGTTTGATGTTTTTCTTTTATATATATATATATATTTATTTATATTTCTTATTTTACATATCGATCCCAATTCCCTCTCCCTCCCTTGTTTGCCCCCCTACTCCTTTCCCAGCCCATTCCCCTCCCCACTCCACAGGGAGGATGATGCCTTTCGGGAGGGAACATCAAAATCTGTCAAGTCATTTGGAGTAGGGTCTAGGCCCTTCCCCCTTTCCTAGGCTAAGGGAGTATCCCTCCATGGGGAATGTGTTCTCAAAGTCCTTTCGTGCATCAGGGATACATCCTGGTTCCACTGTCAGAGGTCCCTTAGACTGCCCAAGCCTTCTAACTGAAACCCATGTTCAGGGGGTCTGAGTCAGTATAATTCTGGTTTCCCAGATATCAGTCTGAGGGTCCATGAGCTCCCTCTTGTTCAGGTCAGCTGTCTCTGTGGGTTTCTGTAGCCTGGTCTTGGCCCCTTTTCTTATCATTCCTCCCTCTCTACATCTGGATTCCAGGAGTTCGGCTCAGTGTTGGCTTCTGTTTCCATCTAGATGAGGGCTCTATGATGATGGATAAGTTAGTTATCAATCTCATTATCAGGGAAGGGCATATAAGGTAGCCTTTCCACTGTTGCTCAGATTGTTAGTTGGGGTCATTCTTGTAGGTCGCTGGACATTTCTCTAGAGTCATTTCTCTCTTCAAACCTATAATGGCTCCCTCTATTATGGTATCTCTCTCTTTTTTTTTCCTCTCGTCTGTTCTTTAGGCTGAGTTGATCTTTGCCAATAAGTAGTGTAGGGTTAGATTCCAGGACAAGAGATGAAAGGAGGGACTGGCTCCTTTGTCCCCTGCAGTATCTCTTGGTGTCACCCAGCAGTGATCTTCACCTCAGAGCAGGTGCCATGAGATCTGTATAGGTCCAAGGCCCAGCCTGGAGGCACCCTATAGGCTCAGCATCCTTCTTAGATGTCTGTAGGCCAGGGCTACAGGGCTCCTGTCTGTGTGGTTTAAATTTTAATCCTTCAGTTTCCTGATCCCCCAGCACTGGAGGTGGTAAATTCTTCCTGTAATTGCTAGTTTGGAATTCTTTTTATAACTTCTCATCTGCTCAGTCAACTTTATACCTAGTTAACAACTCTTTGTATTAAATTCTGTGTGTTTAAAAAAAAAAGGAAGGAAGGAAGGAAGGAAGGAAGAGAAGGTGTGGCTTGTTTCCTACCTACCCCATGACAAACCAAAATACCAAAGTCCAATTTGGTGAACAAATGACTTTTATTGGGGTCTCTTACAGGAACATGGGTGTACAGAAGCAGAAATTACTCAAAGACAGCTGTATCATCAAAACCCATTCCAGCATGGGTGACAGCTCACAAAACTGGGAGCCTGGAACTCACAGCCTTCAGGCATAGAGTCCTTAGATCTCTCCAAATGACCAGAAGGTAACCTATATGAAATTGCAAAAAGCAGCTTTATTCTTGAGACAGAAAAGCCAGAATGCTGGGGTCCATCCAAAAATGGTGTCAACTTTGGGGGAGGGTAAGACAGTCCCTTTTAAGCACGCTTAGGAGAATTCCCCCTGTGGTTAGTGCACCTTGAAATGATTGGGTGTAGACTCTTATTGGTACAGGAGTCATTTTGTGATTGGCTCATGACATCTGGTCAGCAGCTGTGGTTGCAGTGGTAGGGATCTGTTTGCTGTGACATGGGTCTATTTGACTGAAGATAGTAAGAACCGGTCCTGCTTGTGACCAGGTAGGACTCTGATTGACTACCAGACTGGATGCACTTCCTGAGGATCTGATGGAAGCCAGACATGAGTCAACGTAGGATGGTGGGCAGAGGTCTTAGCAAACTGGCCCTGGTCCCTTCAGCAGGCAGCTCAGCAGATTGGAGCGTGTCTTTCCCAAGTGCCATGGTCTAAACCTCTTCCAGACAGCACAGCTGGTTTCTACTTTTCCTGGCACCTGCTGGTCTGGCTTCAGAGTCCTTTTGGCAGCTCAACTTCCTTCTGTCTCAGGGTCATTCTCAGCTTTTAGTGTTCACTCTTACAGGAAGGGAACTAGTGAATCTGGTTGGTTTCAGGGACTTCCTGAAGTTATTTTTAGTTGTTTGTTTATCTTCCTGTTTAAGGAGCTTCCTGCAGGAATGAAAGTTTTAAGCTTGGGGGAAAGTGTTAAAGAACAGTACCCTAAAGCTAGAGTGACAGGCAGTTGTTAGGCACTTGACCTGAGGGCTGGGAACCAAACTTTGGGTCTTCTGGATAGCAAACAAACACTATTAACCACTGAGACATCTCTCCAGTCCCTCCTGGTTTTTACACTGATACTTGAGATCCAAACTCGGGTTCTCAAGCTGTGTAGCAAGTACTCCATCCCTTCGGTCCACTCATTTTTTACACTTCGTTCTTACATGAGTTGCCCCCAGGCTCTTTGAGCCTCATTCACCTTATCCCCCAGGTATAATAAGGTGATAATAATAGCACTTCTCATATGAAGTGGAGTCATTCACATATAGCATTTTATACAGCACTCTGCCCTGGAAAGCCTAATACTTGGCAACTTGTTCTTTTTCTGTGGGAATGCCTGCTGACTTTTGATAATGATAAATGGACAAGCTTGTTAACAATCATCATCAAAAGCCATACCTGCCTGGCCATGCAAAGAAGAAAGGACAGTGGTCTCCCTGCCTAGTGACAGATACCACTACTACCTTCTGCCTGTTCTAGCTTGCCAGCTTCCCACAGCTGGCCCATAGACCAAACACCCTGCCAACCTCCACTTCCACATTAATCTTAGAAGTAGACCCAGAGCCCTGCAGTGGCTCCTCTGTGAGATATTGCCCCTGCTCCAGGATTTTCCACCTAAAACCGGTTTCAGTTCTGATGCTAGGTCAGAACAAACTGAATCTGAGCCCAGGTGCTGGAAACAACATCCTGCCCATAGTTGTAGAAGGCTGGGAATTGAATCCATCCAGGACAGGCAGTGAGCACCAGGGGGAGCACAAAGATCATGCTATTCGAAAGGAAAAGCCAGGGCCTTTGTTCACTGAGCAGAGGAGGAAATAGAGCTGGCAAACGGATGCATCAATGTGGTCAGATGCCAAGTCCTCAAGTGCAGGAAGCACATTGGTTCAATACATGAAACCCAGAGTGGCTTGAGGTAGCAGGGCAGGGCTCCCATTAGACTGATGATTAATGATCAGGTTGGGTTCTGGCATGCATGACACATGAACAAGCATATATCAGTGTGTACAAATGGCCCCCAAAGTCAAATAACAACAATCGTCTTATGCACAGCCACTGTTGACTGGTGTAAACCATCTTACCTGGGTCTGGGAGCTGACTGGGCTCTGCCTAAGTGAGTCTTCCTTTGCGTTGCAGTCAGATAGGCACATTTGTTTGCAGGTTTAGCAGGTGATACTGGCTATTGTCTGGGGCCTTATCTGAAGCTGTCAGATTGGACACCCACATATGACCCTCACATGGCCTGGGTTTCCTCACAACATGGGGTTCAGCTCTCTTAGTTCATACCTGGAATATGCATTCTAGTTTTTTCTGCATTTTCTCAGTCCTAGTTCCACTGCCAGTGAATCCCACTCCCTGCTGAGTTGTGGAATATTAGCTGAAGATGTATTACATTTGTCAATGCTGTGGAATATTTGTTTATTGTTGCAAAGATGTGTTGCGTTCTTTTATGTTGCACTTATTTAATGCTGTGAGGCTGTGTTACTTTGCCTGTCTAAAACACCTAATTGATTTAATAAAGAGTTGAACAGCCAATAGCTAGGCAGGAGAAAGGGTAGGTGGGGCTGACAGGCAGAGAAACTAAATAGAAAGAGAAAGCTGGAAAGAAGGAGGAGTAAGCAAAGAAGGAGAGGAGGGCATCAGAGGCCAGCCACCGAGTAAGAAGTAAAAAAGGTATATAGAATAGAGAAAGATAAAAACCCAGAGGCAAAATAAACATAATTTAAGGAAAATTGACTAGAAACTGAGAGACTCAGACCCCAGAAAAATCCCTGGTCTGCAGCCCCTACACAGACCCTGAACAGTTCAGCCCCAAGCCCCAACCCAGTAAAAGAAACACATCCTGGATTCTGGACCCAAGCCAGCTAAAGAAACACTTTATCCCTAAGCTTAGGGCCAGGAAAAAACACCCTAACTCCCAAACTAGCGCCAAAATAATGTAGTTGGACCCTAGATTCTTGACATGTAAAAGAAATTCACTCAGATCCTAGAATTGGAGCCAAAAAGCCAAAAGGAACCATAGGAAGAAACTATGGAAAGATGGTCCTGGAACTGGAGCCATCTCTTTGCCTGACTTAAAACTAACCAATCCCTGAGCTAGAAAAATGGACCAATCCCAGGTCAGCAAGCTTGGAATACCCCTCCCCCAGTTTGGAATCTCCTCAGGCTGGGGGTTCCCCTAGACTGGAAACTCCTGCCTGGAAATTCCTGCCACTTCATAGGGGCAGCCAGTCACCATTCAGAGGCTTGGATTTCTCCCTCCACCCAGGGCAGCCAAACAGCCCAGTCCAGCCTTGAGCCAATCCCAAGGCTGTAGCTAGGTGGGCTTGGAGTTTTCCCAAGCCCCTTCCTCCTGCCTGCCTACTACAT